TGAACTCAAGCTTGCAGATCGTGTAGAATTTATTTGGTTGTAAGGGAGGGTTTTTTTTAAAATGTCTTAATGCCATCTATTGTGCTTTGTTTTTTATTTTTATTGTTCATTGTATGAACTGTTTAATATCCACCAAATGAATGAACTTAGTAATTGTGCGATTTCATATGAATGTGGCTTACAGAACCCCATGTGTGCCTGCTTATTCTCTGCACTGTCACCTGCTTGCACCTCATTCTCAATATACTCCTCACCAGCCTTTGTCCACCAGGTTCTGTAAGAGAGCCCAGCCCTAGAGAAAGTGATTTGAGTGACTGTTTCCTTTAGAGCATTAGTGCTTAACTCTTGCAGAGCCACACTGGAGCAGGGCTGTGGACCTGAACAGGAAAGAATGCCTGCAAGTCTCTTTTTCTTGTGGGCTTTTCATGGGCTGTTCTCCCCACCAGGGTACTTTCTCTCCCATCTCTTGGCCTAGTTAACATCTGCTCATCCTGAGATTTCAGCTACATTGTCACTTCCTCCAGGAGCCTTTCCCTAACCCCTACGCTGCAGGCTTATTCTTACAGCCCTATTACCTGCTGATAATACCCTGTTTGCTCCTTTAATACCATTCATCTTGTTTTGCCCCACTCTGCACCTAGCAGAACTGGAAGCTCCATGGGGACCTGAACTGTCGCTTGTATCCCCAGAGTCTAGCACAGTTAAGCATCCAGTGAACACTGGCTGGTGAATGGTGGGATATTGTTGCCCCCAAAGCATTGCTGCAAGGCCTGGCTGATAACAGGCAGAAATTAAGCTGGGACCTTCCCAGTACTGAGGAAAAGAACTCAAGTTACTTTCATGGTAGGTATGAATCCTGTACTGACTCCAGAGAATCCTAGTACTATAGTATTACGTTGTGCTAAATTGCCCATGCTAGACTCAAACTTGTAATCCTCCTGCCTCAGCCTCCCAGAGTTCTAGAATTACAGACATATACCATCACACCCAGCTCTCCTGGCGATTTTTAACAATTATTGCATGATGATTCCTGGATAACCTTTCTCTGCCAAAAGGAGGGGGAGTAGGCATTTTTTTATACTATTGCCTGAAGAGGGCTAGTTATGTTACACCATAGCTTTTACTGTTTCCCACCTATTGTCAATGTTAATAGCTGATTTTTTAGGTTAACACTAAGCCTGTCCTGTTGCTAATAAATTGCCTTTTTGAAACATTTTATCGCTGAGAGGAGGAATCTATGAGGCAAGCTGGGGCTACGTTTGATTTATACTGATGAGCTCATATATTGCCTTTCCCTGCCATCTGAGACAAAATGCCTCCCACTCAGGGGCCCCTGCCCTGGAGTCCCATCATTGGCACCACTTTGCTTATTAATAGACACTGATTTAGCAGCAGCAGCGTACCAGGTGCTGATCTGTAAGCAGCACGTGCATCTGTGCACAGACTCCAGCCCCCTCGATCAGTGAGGCGCAGGGAGCAGTGTTGTTTTCCCCTTGGCTTTTATATACAGTAGTTGCTGTTGTAATCAGTAGAAGGCTGGCTCACGTAGACCTCGCTCTGCATTCTCTGCTACTCATGCTGGGCGACAGGGCTGATGGCCACATCTTCCACTAGTTGTCTGTGTTCCTATTTCACAGGCCTCGGAATGCATGTGTCGGATGTGCCACAGGCTTGGACGCAAGCAGCCATCAGACACCTACTCCAGCTTACTGAGAAAATCCTAATGGGAAATAATCCGCTGCTATACTACACATATTCTTTGGCCTAATTCAGCTCCCCAAGTGGCCTTGTGCCCTACTTCAAGGACAAATAACCATCCTCTCCTCACCTTCCACCCTAGTCAGGCCCCCAAAATTGAAAGGTCAGCTCAGTCCCCTTTTCTGGTACCTGGCAGCCTGTCGAGCCATGGCCCTAATTCTTCTCTTCCCAAGGGTAGAGTGCAGAGAAGGAAGCCTTCCACTTCTACCCAAGCTTCTCCGACAAGTTCATTTTCATATCTCTCTTTGTCTTCTTTTATACCAAACCATGTCTTTACTCACCTAGACAATCTTTGCCCTGCCCTACTACTTAAAAATGTTGCAAGCCTAAGTACAGCTGCAAAGAATTTTAGAAGAATAAAAATAAAAAACAGAATAAATAAATAAAAGAATCTTTTTTCTGTATTCCTACTACCATTTATGGATTGTTTTTTCTGTTGCTGGGGATCAAACCCAGGGCCTTGCAGTTGAAAGGCAAGTCTGATTTCTAGCTCACAGACAAATTTAGCAGTCAGTAGAAAGGATATAAAGGAGAATAAAGTAAACTTTGTATCCTGCAACTCCTGAGTTATTTTCAGATGTAAAGTCACTGGCAGAATGATCTCTGAATGATCTGTCCAAATTATTTCAGTGAGCCTGGGTTTGAGCTTATGCGTCCGTGCCTGCCAGCTGTTCTTGTGGGTCACTGAGCCGGGTGGGCATCTGAGAGGCAGTAGCAGACCCAGGCGGAGCCAGTGTGGGAGCTGCAGAGTCATTTGTATACCAAGCCAGGGCAGCCATGATGGGGGCTTTGACCTTGATAGTGCCACATGTCAACCAGCATCTCTGACTAAACAATGCCTCAGCTCAGCAGATGTTCATGGAGCAAATCCAGTTTAAATACTTTGACCGGCGCTGGCATTACAAAGATACATAAGAAGCTGTCGTTGGCCTTGAGGTAATTGTAGTCTAATTGGGAGAAAAGACACACATACGTACTTTTAATACAAGGACACTGTTAGAGCAGCTATAAAACTTTCAAATCATAAATCCTAAAAGAAATGAATTAACTTTGTTGGGCATGTATTATGTGCCAGTAACTGTGCTAGACGTATTTCACATGTGATCTTATATACTGTATAGATGGCTATTAATAAGTCAGTATGGTTTTATGTGTGTCTCTATTTATTAGAAATATATATTTGTACCTGTGTATAGATAGTTACATAATAAAAGATATCGATGGCTTGTTTTTCTAGTTGGTGTAGTAAAGCATCCCCAACTGTCACATAGAGCTACATATGTACATAAAGAAATTGTATACACGGCTGGGGAGGGGCTCAGTGGTACAGCACTTGCCTAGCAGGCAGGAGGCCTTGGGTTCCATCCCCAGCACCACCAAAAATGAGCAAAAGAGGGGATGGGGATTTAGCTCAGCAGCACAGCGCCTGCCTGGCAAGCGCAAGGTCATGAATTCAATTCCCAGTACTGGAAAAAAACAAAAATAAAAACAAAAACAAAAAGAACAAAAGAAACTACATATATATGCATTATATGGTTTCCTGTATGTTTATAGAGTCTTTTTTTTTTTTGGTCTTTTTGAGACAGGGTCTCACTATGCAGTTCAGGCTGGCCTTGAGCCCACATTGTAACCCAGGCTGGCCTCGAACTCGCAATGATCCTCCTGCCTCAGCCTCCCGAGTGCTGGGATTACAGGCGTGCACCACCACGCCCAGCTCCCATTAATGTCTTTATGTATGTACATGTGTAACTGCTTATCAGACAAGGCTGTTTTTGCAGAGAAGACCAGTGAGCCTCAGCCTAGCAATGAAGACCTGACAGACAGTCCAAACTGACCATCGCTGCTCTTCCAGAGTCCTCTGACTGTCCTGTAACCTCCGGCTTTGCCTAGTTCTTGACTCGCCATATAACTTCTCTTTTAGCTCTAGAAATATTATGAAACAGACCTCATTATCATGCCTTTCTTTTTTAACAGACTAGAAAACTAAGATTCAAAGAGCATGCCCAGTAGAACTTCCTACAGTAATGGAAACCGTCTAGACCTGCTCTGTGCGGTCACTGACCAGTAGCCTACCGTGGCTTTAAAGTACTGAAACATGGCTAATGCAACTATGAATTTTACTATATTTCATTTTCATTTTAATGGCCCTGTGTGGACAGTGGCCACTCTATTGTAGATAGCTCAGGCTTAGGGAGCTCAAGCTTCACCAGGTTCTATGTGATCTGACCTCCACTGGCCCTATTACAGCGCTATCAACATTGTGTTTTGGTTAATTAGGTGCTTGTCTTCTTTCACTTGACTTTGAACTCCTTAAAGGCAGGACAGTAACCTATTTGTGTTTGTATTTTCCCACCTAACAGCGTACTGGCACATGTAGAATAAATGTGCATTGGGCTAGGAATGTGGCTTAGTAGTAGAACATGCTTAGCATGCCTGAGGCCAGAATTCAGTCCCTAGCACCAAAAAATAATATAAACAAATGTGGCCAGGTATGGTGGCGCATGCCTGTAATCCTAGCACTTGGGAGGCTGAGACAGGAGGATCACCATGAGTTTGAGGCCAACCTGGCCTACATAGTGAGTTCAAGACCAGCTTGGACTATATAATGAAACCCTGTCTCAAAGAAATAGGTAGGTAGGTAGGTAGATAGGCAGATAGATGACCATTGACTGTTAAAATCCATGACGTGCAAAGTTTGGTTGCATAATTTTCTGAAGAATTTCAGCTCAATAAAGTAACAGCTTGTATTGACTTACTATGGTCTTACCATATGTGAGACAGAAATTTAAAAACAAAGCTGATTTGACCTCAGAGAGGAAAGAACAGGGGGTGGTTGGCGCATGCCTGTAATCCCAGCACTCGGGAGACTGAGGTAGGAGGATCGTTGAGAGTTCGAGGCCAGCCTGGGCTACAAAGTGAGCTCAAGGCCAGCCTGAACTGCATAGAAAGACCCTGTCTCAAAAAAAAAAAAAAAAAGAGAGGAAAGAAAACCAGGCATAAAATTAGTTTACACTTATGCTGGTGTTTTTATCTTGCCTCTAATAAAGGACTCTGATTCCTTTTAACTTAGCACAGTGTACCCTTCTTACAGCCCTTCCTGCACTGGAGGACAGACATGTTACTAGAAAGTGCCCCACGGGTTATCCAGGATCTTTGGGGCTTGAGGGGCTGTTCCAGGATTACGCAGGCTGAGGGCCCTGCAGTCCAGTCCCAACTGGCTAAATCTCTTCTTCTCTCCACAGGAAAACAACTGGAAGGCATCTGGTAAGTTGCGGGAAGCCTTATGGTGACCATTAGGAAACAAAGTAGTGCTGCACACTGTTCAAAGTCTCCACACCATAAAACCGCAGTTCTCCACTAGGGCTGTTTTATTTGGCAGTGCTGAGACATTTTTGGCCAGGTGTGGTGGCGCACACCTGTACTCCGAGCACTCGGGAGGCTGGAGCAGGAAGATTGCCTTGAGTTCAAGGCCAGTTTGGGCTACATAGTGAAACTCTGTCTTGAAAAAAAAAAAAAAAGACATGTTTGTTTGTCACAGCTGAGGGAAGGTGCTAGTGGATGCAGAGGCCAGGAAGGTTGCTCAACATCCTCTATTGTATAGGGTGCCCCGCAGCACTGATCCAGCCCCACTGTCTGTACAGAGTGGAGAAGTCCTGATTTGGGAGCTGTGTCAAGTTCAGATACTGCAGGGACAAGGGGATTGTGTCACAGCTGGGGACGCAGCTCAGCACTAAAGCGCTCACGTGTGGCACAGGGAGGCCCTGGGTGCAACCCCCAGTGCCACAAAAAAAACCCAAAACAGTACTGAACATGTATGGACTTTTTAAAAAATTATTCCCTAAATAAGAGAGTATAGCAACTATTTGCATAATATTTACATTGCAATAGGTATTAAGTCATCTTGAAATGATTTGAAGATGTACATAGGTTCTAGGCAGATACTATGGCTCTATTTTATGAAAAGGACTTGCTAGGCTGGGGATCTAGCTCAGTGACACAGTGCCTGCCTGGCAAGTGTGAGGTCCTGAGTTTGATTCCCAGTTCAAAAAAAAAGGAACTTGTGCATTGCAGATTTTGGTATCTGGGGGGAGGGGGCTCAGGAACAATCCCTACAGACAAGGGGGGCACAACTTTATCTTATTCCTGCCTTTATTTAGTTGGCTTTATGAGGCTGGCCACCACGTGCCATCCCCGGGGAGAAAGCGTTCTCTCTGCTGTGTGGTGCTTGCTTTTCTGGGTCACGTCTGGAGTTTCTGACTCCCCGTGTCTCTCTGCGCAGGCATACCTCCATAGTTGTGCACAAGGATGAGTTCTTCTTTGGCAGTGGCGGAATCTCCAGCTGTCCCCCGGTGAGTGTCTTCGTCCACACCCTGCCCTGCTTCTCAAGTTTCTGAGGCTCCCACAGATGAAGAATTTTGCTTCTACTGTGTGCCTTTGTCCTCCAGCTGAGTGTGTGGAGGCTTCATCACCACCTTGAGACTTGTTCAAAGCCTGGGAGTGCAGCTCGAGATGGAGTGCTCGCTTTGCGTGTGCAAGTCGCTGGGCTCCATCCCCAGCACCACACAGCTCCCAGACATGGCTCATTGAGAGCCTTTCCTGGACATCCAGCCAGTTGCACTTCTCTCCACTCCCAGGGCATCTTGAGCTCGTGCTCTTCCAGCACCACCTCTCCCCATTCCTTGAGCAGCCTTGGGCATCCCACCCTGTACTGCAGTCCAGTGCACCTCCAGATCCTCCAGGTCTGAGCCCAGACAAGCCTTGACTGTCCGCTCAGACTGTGGGAGTCCCCTGTCATATGTACTAGTGGTCTTCTGCACTTTTCCAGCACAGCCTTCATTGCCACTTGTAATTACAAACTGGCTGATGGGGTTTTGTGTCCTGACACCTGTTTTTTGTTTTTTTGTTTTTATTATTATCGTAAAGAGTAAAAGAAGAATAACATAGTAATGGGGCCTTAGCGAATTGCAGACAAAGTGGTAGAAAGTTATCAATGGTTGTTTTTTTACATATTGTTATCTACAAGATAGTTTCTCAGAAAAACAAGTAGACAAATAATAGTGAGCTACAGACAAAAGTGGTAGGTTATTATCAATGGTTGTTGTACTTTACTTTGGTATCCTCAAAGTGGTTTCTGAAGAAAATAGAGCTATACACGAGTGACCTATTGAATATTTTTTTTGACCAATTGAATATTCATTGACTATTCTCAATGGTTGTTGTAGGAAACACATAGTAATAAACATGCATCCATTTACGAACTAGCATAGGAACAATACAAACATTACAGAGTTAGGGACAGATTAGTAGGAAAATATCAATGGCTGCTGTAATACATGGTGGTATCTTCAAAGTGGTTTCTCAGGAAGACAGAAATATGCAAGAAAGATAGTAGTTACAATAGTAACAGATGTCACAGTAGTTACAGGTAGTAGTTACTGAAACAAGTAGTTACAGCCTAATGGTTATGAAAAATAACGTATTACCTCCTCACCAGTGACTCCTTTCCCGGAGGTGTGACGGCTAGGAGAAAGGCCAGGATTGAAAAGAAGGACCAAGAGATGTGCATCTATGTCTAGCAACAGGCTGTTTTTTTTTTTTCCTCTATAGTCATAATTACCCGGGGCTCCTACATGGAGATGACAGTCTGGCCAGAGGGAGAAGGCAGAATATGCCCCGGGCCCTCTCATTTCCTGTTAGACTAACTGGTAGGATGGGTCTGAGCTCTGGGGCCTCTGCTTCAGAGAGCAGACCGATCTCCAGTGGTCACCTTTGCATTCAGGGCATGGCCCAGGGGGCTTCTTAGGGCAGTTCCTCTTGAGGTAGCCTGGCTTTCAACAGTGGTAGCAGATGAATGCAGTCGTCGAGTTCTTCTTGGGGCCCCAAGAATCAGACTTAGGGACTGTTTCTCTTAGTGCTGCAGCAAAAGCAGCTCTTCTTTTCTCAGTCTCTTTGTTTTCTTTCCTTGGCCTCCACCTCATCATGACTATAGAATACTGAGGAGGTAGTTTTTACTAACATCTCAAGTAAGCCATCTGGGGCGAAAGCCATTTTTTGTAGTTTTTTCTCTCCAGCCTCCCAGCACACTGGGACCCTGCGACCACTTAGTGTCCTCTCCCCAACCATCAGCACAGACAGCAGGAATCTCGGTGCAGACCTCTCTGGAGCTCCATGCACTCCTCCACCACAGCCTGTACTGTCCTGACACCTGTTTGTCCTGTGAGTGACTGGGGTATCTGTTAGTGACCTCTCAGTCTCTCCCAGCACGGAGCTATTTATCCCTTGTGACCAGAATTGTCTGGCCTCAGCATGCTGTCCCCACTGCTTAGACCGTGTCAGCCACACACGAGGTGCTCAGTGCTGTGAATTAATGACCTCATGCAACTCTGCTCTGGAATGTTCTCCCTTCCTGGATCTGTCTTCCATGTTCCTGTCACTTCCCTTTTGTTGGTATCCCCTACTGGGGCTCTGTCCTTTAGTCTCCTGTGGCAGTCTGTTAGAGTGCCCTTCCAGGGGCCAGCACCCCACCCCACCCTGCCCTGTTGCCATCAGCAGATCAGCCTCAGATCCCAAATGACCTGAATTGTGGGAATATTTGCAATCCTGGCAGATGTCTCACACTCCTTCACATGTTCCCATTGTTACAAAGAACATCCAATGTCACATGAAAAATGGGCTGTGTTCTTTCTGAATATAGGTGTGTAGAGCAGGTGTGAGGCATTTCTAGTTGTCCTGTTCTGTCCTTGTAGTTAGACATGCTTTGGACAAAAAGAGACTGCAGATTCTGGGTTTCTATCTCTTTTATCAGCTGAATGAGTAGACAGCAGAAGTTGTCAAACCTGCAAGAGAATCAGCTTCTCGGGGCCCACCCAAAACAAGAAGCCCGGTGTCATGCTCTGCGGGCAGCACGTGGCAATGGGAAGTTCACCAGGAAGCTGCTGTACCCTTTAGACAAACAGGAAACAGCCTGCTGCATCTACGCACGGTGCTCTGAAAGTTAAAAATAAGTTGTTAGAACGGTGCATTTGTGGTCTTCTGTGGAAAGCCACATTCAAAAAGTTCAGTAGATGGCTAGGGATGCAGCCCATTGGAAGAGCGCTTGCCTCGCATGTATGAAGCTCTGGGTTCAATCCCCAGTACCAAAAAAAACAGTGGAGATGGTGATTTAATGACTTTTTTGGGGTTGGCTCTTCTAGGGAGGGACGTTGCTTGGGCCACCAGACTCTGTGGTTGATGTGGGGAGCACCGAAGTGACAGAAGAAATCTTCCTGGAGTACCTGTCCTCTCTGGGGGAGTCTCTGTTCCGGTAAGTGGAGGCAGGGTGGTGGTTACCAGCGTTTGTCTTCCCTGGAAGGTGGCCACTGTGCCTTGTCCTTGGGGCCCCCAGTGCAAAGCCTGGCCTGATTTTTGCTGAGTAAATATGAAGAGAAACCAGTTACCATGGTGCAAGGGGAGCCCAGAGTTGTTCCAAGGCAGATTCTCCTTCACAGCATGATCTCCGCTAGAACTTTAAAGGAAAGGCAAACTCTTCATTCCTCCTGATTAAAATAAGCAAGTGCTATTCTCCGTCTTTACTGGCCAGGTGCTTTGTCCTAAACATTAAAAGCTAGGTTTATAGCAAAGTTGGGATGAAATACAACCTTGAAGAGATTTCTCTTAAGCTTTAGTTTAGGGTGAGGCTGTGGCTCAGTGGTAGAGCACTTGCTTAGCAGGCCAATTCCATCCCCAGCACCAAAAAAAAAATTTTTTAATCAATTTCAGTAACAGTTCTGGAGCTCTTCTATTGTGAACATGAACATTCTAAACTGTACAATCCACATATTTAGCGCCTCCTTCCCCTGGAAATCAGTTCTGAAAGGCCCAGGGTGTCAGATCAAGCAGTCCTTTGGGAGTACAGAGGGGCAGTCAGAGCGCTCACCTCAGCTCTGCTCTCCCCTCGTCCTGGTTCTCCTGCTGGCTTTCTCATCTCTCCTCCAAACTTTCTTGGTGCGCAGAGGTGAAGCCTACAACCTCTTTGAACACAACTGTAACACCTTTAGCAACGAAGTGGCACAGTTCCTGACCGGGCGGAAGATCCCGTCTTACATCACCGACCTGCCCTCTGAAGTCCTCTCCACGTAAGTGCAGCCTCTGGCTCTGGTCCTGCTTGGCTAGCTTTGAAAATCCACCAGTCATATGCCGTGTCCATAGCCCACATCTGCCCTCCTGAGAGGGCACCAGAACTCTCCCAACCGGGAGGACCTGTCCTGATGGCAGTTTCTACACCACAGGAAGCCACCGTTCCCCGACCCACTCCTGCGCCCCTGTATCGCCTCCACCCTTAGAGTCAAACCAACTGCGCCCCGGCCTAAGTGCAAGCCTAGAACTTAGAAAACAAGCCAGGCATGGTGGCGCACACCTGTAATCCCAGCACTCAGGCTGAGGCAGAAGGATCATGGAAAGTTTGAGGCCAGCCTGGGCTACATAGTAAGTTCAAGACTAGACTGAACTACCCACCAAGACCCTGTCTCAAAAACAAAAAAAGAAAGAAAGAATTTAGAAACCCCTCAACCCTGGCTTTAGGGTTTGGACAAAATCCTGACACCTGTGTTTGCACGGTGTGGAAGCGTGCTGCTCCCAGCAGTGCCCAGCTCAAACGCAGTGTCAGGGTAGCCACAGAGGAGGTCAGAGGAGTAGCAAGACAGCTTGTTTGGAACTGGTGTCTTTCCCTTGGGGTTTTCTGCAGGAGTTTGAGGGGGTTGATACAGTGGTTTTGCTGTGTAATTCATGCTGGCCTAGAACTCATGGTGATCTTCCTGCCTCAGCCTCCTGATTGCTGGGGTTAGAGGTGTGCACCACCACACCCAGCTCACTGGGTGTGAACCCTCCACTGCACTGTGGGCCCTTTGAGTCCCTCTGAGGCTGCTTTCTGCTCACTTTCCAACTTTACATGCACTGTCAGCCCTCCGTGGATGTTTTCATCAAGGACACTTCATAGCCCCTCTGCCTGATGTGGCCCTGGCCGTGGCAGGACCTATGGGCCATCACTAGGCAGTGCATACCCTGGAAGACACATTCCCAAAACAGCTCACTCCTCTTCTGCTCTCAGGCAGCCTCTAGAGCCATATCCATTTGCTGGCTCTGACGCGAGCTCTCCTCAGCTAGGGTCCTGCCTAGTCGGAGTCCCAGCAGGCTGAGCTGGCCCCACAGGTGCGCTGTTTTCACACCTGAGTCCAAAGCTCACAGGAAAAACAAGCCTGTGAGGATCCGGGTCTCCCAGCCCTGGCCCCACCTTCCGTCCCTGGGTGTGTGCAGTCCCACAGCCTGCCAGGGGAATCTCGGTTTCTGGCCCCTGAGCAAAGTAGAGTAGCTGGAATGTTCTCGCTGTTGTTCTCTCGGGGTGGAGTTCAGGGCTTATCTGACTTAGGACTGATATTTCTAGATTTCGTCTGTTTACACTTTGGAGTGCTTCATTCCCTTGAACTTGGAGGTGATTTTCAAACAAGGCCATGTCCACCAAAGAAAATGCCAGTGCCTGGATGTGCTATGGGCAGCCGTGTTTAAGGGGGCCGTAATCTTGGAAAGCTGCTAAACTCCAGTATTTGCTGTGATTTCCCCAGCTAAGTTACCAACAAAGCAAACTGGGAGCCCTTTGCAAAGTGACAGCCACACCTCTGTTACATGGGGGGGTCATTTTTCATATTCTCTGTGCTCCCTGAAGGGGCCCAGGTGCCAGCAGAGCCTAATTGTGTGCCATCCTCATGCCTGACTTTATCATCTTCACATTCTCTCCATTTTCCCTCAGCTTCCTCTCTTCAACCTTGTCTTCTTTACAAGAATTACAGGCACAGAAAACCCCAGTTTCCCATGGGCAGCCTGATCAAACCACAGCTCACTCACCAGGCCTTAGAGGTGGCAGTACCCACTAACTGGGGCACCCCAGGAATAAAATCACACAGAGCAGGTCGGGGGTGGTGGCGCATGCCTGTAATCACAGAACTTGGGGTGCAGAAGCTCGAGAACCAATGCATGTTCAAGACAGTCCTGGGCTACATAGTGAGTTCAAGGCCAGCCTGAACTAACAGTGAGGCCCTGTCTCCAAGCAAACAACCCGGAGCAGGCGGTGTGAGAGGTGGCCTCTGTGCTAGGCAGCTTTGTTACTGTAACAGGTACCTGAGATCATCAGGCGGAAGGTTATTTGCGCTCACACCGTCAGAAGTTTCAGCACCCTGGGCAGGAAGTATAGGCTGGGGCAGAGTGCTCGCCTCCTGGGAGCCAGGAGCAGAGAGGACGCAGGGGGCTGGGGTCCCGCTGTCCCCTTCAAGGACGTCCCGTGACAAGATGCCCTCCCATAGGCTTTTCGCCTCTCAGAGTCTCTGCCACCTCCCAGTAGCTTCACAGCCCTGGAGCAGCACGTAAGCCTTTGGAGAGCGGGTGTCCGGACTGCGGCTTGCCCTAGAACACCAGGGAGTGAGATGGCGGGAAAACTAAATGAGAGCTGCTCGAGATGGCGCCCGCCTGCAGTACTAGCCTTCGGGAAGGCTGAGGCGGTGGTGGGGGAATCACAAGCTCAATAGCCTGGCCAACTTAGTGACTTAATGAGAACCTTTCTCAAAATTTTAAACAACAGCTGAGAGTGTAGCTCAGTGTGAAGGCCTTGGGTTCAGTACCGGAAACAGTTACCTGAGATCCCAGGGTCATCCTTCCTGAAGCCCACCGTGCACCCCAGCCCAGCCCCTGTGATCTTGTCTCTCCCACAGGCCCTTCGGACAAGCTCTCCGGCCCCTCCTGGACTCCATCCAGATCCAGCCCCCCGGAGGGAACACGGTGGGCAGACCCAACGGCCAGAGCTAACCGGACTGCTCGGGACCGCCCGCCTGCCCACCTGCCCTGCAGGGCTTTTCCTTTTTAAACAAAACAAACCCTACCAAATTTCTATTTTATAATTTTACATCAGAGCTAACAACCAGGGGACGGCTTTTTAAATTTCCCAGGGAAGGAGATCATCAGGCTGCATAGGACAATGCTGCTAAGAAACGGAACAAAATGCCCCCCTTCTAATAGTATTACACTAATTTATTAAGGCTGTCTTGTCTGTGAGTTCACTTTTGACGCTGTTTCTGAAGCGTCCTCCACCCTGGAGAAAGGGAAGGGTTGTTTCAGCAGTAGTCAAGAGGGGCAGTTTGGGGAAGCCCCAACCTAGAACCTCTTTCCAGAGACTATCCATGCCCCACCCAGGTTGCCACACCTGTGGGACCAAGGAGTTCTCCAACACCCGTGACCCGGAAGCAGTCACTCAGCATTACATGAACCAAAGGGTGTGGTGCACTTGGGGCCAGTTGCAGGGTGACTAACCGAACCTCAGTGAGCTCTTTCACCAGACCTCTGTCACTTTCCCTTCCCTGCCACAAGCATGGGGCCACGGCTACAGCAACCACACTCGGAATCAGAGAGAGTGACAGCCAGTACCAGGCCAGAGACACAGGATAAAGCCATTCCTCTCCCCACCCAGACTGCTGCCGTCCTCTGCCATCGATTTGGGAAAGCTGCCTTGCTGCGTGCCGGTAAGGCTGCCATTCCTGAACTTATCGGACCTGTCACAGTGGACGGGGGCTGGGCCACAGCCTCAGAGACCCAGGGCTTCTGTCTACAAAGAAACCGCACCCAGCACCGTATGCAGCATTCAGTTAGGGACCGAGGGGACACAAGTCCCAGCTAGGGGATGTAGAGAGAATATGATGCAGAATCAAGGTAGCAAGAAAATTTCATTGTTTCCTATAGGACTTTTCCGTTAACCTGAATGTGTTGTGGCACACATTTCCATTGTCATTCTGGCTTTAAGGAGGTGCCATTGGGGTGTGAGTGGGCATTTTCCTGGTGACTTGCTGCTGAGGTTGTAGACAGCAATCCGGAAGTGGTGGATCTGGGCCACCTTTCAGACTCCGTTTCACATGAGCTCCCATGGGTTATTTAGGGGACAGCGTGGGTGGGGCTCAGAGCTGCCAGGTGCCTGGCTCTTGGCTCTGCTGCCTGCGCCCTCCTGCCATGGCTCCCTGCCCCCTCTAAAACTTGAGTCTGTCTGCTCCTTCCGGGACAGGGCCCTTTCCTCCCTGAAGTCTGCTCACCCCAGCCCTGCCCCTGCTGTCTTTGCCATTAGCCATAGCAGTTGGCATCATCAGGGTCCCAGCTAGAGGGAAAGATGTCATTCTGCCTTGGTGTCTGCCTGTGACCTGACCAGGGGCGTGTCCAGCTGGTATCAAGTAGCATTTTAGAATTTAAGACCAGGCCAATTGAGAGGTTTAGTTCTCAGACTCAATGTATGTAGCAGTGATAAATAAGAACAGAAAGCAGCAGGGATTGCTTGAGGCTAAGCTACGGGTGGCTTCAAGGAGGATGGGTGTCAGGGCCTGGGTGTCTTCCGGGAGGGTGGCCGGTTGGCCTGGGCCACTGCGCAGCATCTTACCAGTGTCCCCTCTCCCCATCTGCCTGAAACGCTCATCTCCACCCAGAGGGTACTGAGCCTTTCTCCTGCCCCATATGCGGGCTCAGCCGGCTTTGCTCCTCCCAGCGGGCACCTTCAGACCCAGGGCTGTTCTGAGTTCTGAGTGACTCCTGCAGGGAATTACGGTCACTTGATTCCTTGAACGCTGCCCTTCCTGCCCAGCAGCCATTTGTGCCAATGCCTGTGCCCTGGATCAGTGAGAGACGGAGGGGTTGGCAAGCGGTGAGCCAAGCTCGTGGGGAGGTGAGCTGTCCTCCCCCATGCGAGTCCTGCCCCCCGCAGGGCAGAAGCCAGGCCTGGGCTAGGCCTCCCACCCCATCCCTCATTTCCGTCCATCCCAGAGCCTCAGGAGCGCGCTGGGGACCAGCCAGCTCCGCGTGGGTGCACTTGTGACACGTAGTGGGTGCCTCTTAGAGGTGCACTGCTGTAGAGGAACAGGGAAAGAGGAGGGATGTGACCATCACCCTCTCCCAGAACTAAAGCTCGTACCTTTGAGATTGCATTATGCCCTTGAAGTCAGGCTGATAATTGTGTCTCATACGGAGGTGTTTGCTAGTTTTCATTGGTGTTTTTCTAATGCAATAAACTCATTTCCGCCTGCTGCCTCTGCGTGGTGCTCAGATCCCCGCTCACTGTGTGTCGGGTGTGAGGCAAGCCCAGGCTTCTCTGTCCACCTCCCTCGAGCTCCAACTTGCAGAGGCTGTGCCGCCCTGGCTGGGTGTAAGCCAGTGGATAAGTGGTGACAGTGAGAAAGGATGTGTGGCTTTCACCACCGGTCTACAGAGGTAGGGATAGGACTCAGACTGCTACATGCCCTAGGTCACCACCTTTTGAATGGTAAAGTGGCTTCAAATCTAAGGTCTTCCCTCGATCACTCATCAGGGGGTATCTGGCCTCACCAAGAATTGTTCTAGGTGTGTGGGGGATTGAACCCAGGCTCTTCATACTGAGCTACAGCCCCAGCTTATTTTTTTTTTTAATTTATTTTTTTTGGTCCTTTTGAGAGAGGGTCTCACTATGCAGTTCAGGCTGGCCTTGAGCTCACTTTGTAGCCCAGGCTGGTCTCAAACTCTCAATGATCCTCCTGCCTCAGCCTCCCGAGTGCTGGTATTACAGGTGTACGCCACCACACCTGGCTAGTTTATTTTTATTTAGAGACAGGCTGGCCTCAAACTTGCAGTCCTCCTCCCTCAGCCTCCTAGAGTGCAGGGATTACAAGCATGCACCACCATGCCCAGCTACTGCTAGTTTCATTTGGCTAAAAGATGGGTCCACGGCCCAGAGGTGTCTCTGCCTGCTGCAGTGGCGTGCTTGAACAGTGTTGGGGTTGCTGATGTGTGTGTAGCACTGTCCGCCAGCTGCAGTGGGCACCGCCTATGAGCCTGACTAGCCAGGGCGTTTCCACACACACCTGAGGTGGGCAGGTTGGCCCCACTCTACCAGGGAGGAAACAGGGCAGAGAAGCAAGATTGCCCGCTGGCAGGTGGCCAAGCCTGCGCTCGAATCCAGGGCACAGTCTTGCTGCTCTCTGCACCTGATCGCAAGGCCCTGCCCTCCCCGGTGTGCTAGTTTAGCAATAACACGGAGGCACTGGCTTGGCTTGGCGTCTGCTACTGGGAGCTGACCTGTTTGGGCCTGGAGGCCTTAAGGCCCCGCTCAGATGGCACAGCCTGCACAAAAGGCCCAGCTTTGCCACCCGTGGGCCCATCTGTTTCCGTTTTTCTCTTCTGTGAATTTGAAAATGGTCCCCACCTTGTAGGCTGGGGATGAAAAGCGAATGTACAGCTCAAGTGCTCAGTGAATGTCACTATGGGGCCAGAACCCTTCAATAGCCAGCACCACCGGCTCCCGAGAGCCAGCAGCATGGGGAGAGGACCAGGCCACCCTCTCCGCTGGGGACCGCGCCTGGCCACCCACTTGCTTCTGGGAAATGGCAGAAATCGTGTTTTCCCCTTGACTTTGTGACGGGGGAATCCATTCTGGGTGAGCGTGTTTAACCTCAGCAACTTCCCTGGGAGCCGATAAGAGCAGCTCTTGGTGGCAGTGTGTGAGCGGGTGCGTTGGGGTCGGGGCTTCTCTGAGGAGAAAGGGGTGTTCAGCCTGCCTGAGGCCTAAGTGATGAAGACATCAATGGGGGAAGGGGCACATGCCGGGCAGAGGGAGCCTGTGGTCGGAGGAGGCAGGAACTGCCGTGAAAGCCTCTGCCGTGCTGCTGCCTTGCACACTGGAGGGGAGGGGTGGGCAGTGGTCCACAAGAGACCCTGCACCCCGGAGCAGCCCTGGATGAGAGTTTGGAACTAGGGACTGGGGGCACAGCACAGCACAGCCCTGTGAAACCGGCCAAGGCCAGCTGGGAGACTGTGATACCAACCACTGTCAGCCATGTAGCATGCCTCTGTGAACTTCTAGAGGCTACCCCAGCTTTGATTTGAAGCATCCCTAGGTTTCTCAGTATTTTTCCAAAATATTTTTTAGCAGGGCATGGTGGCACGCACCTGTAATCTCAGCACTTTGGGAAGCTGAGGCAGGAGAATTAGCATGAGTTCCAGGGCAGCTTGGGCTACATAATGAGTTGAAGACCAGGCTGGACTACATAGCAAGACCCTGTCTTTTTTTTTTTTTTTTTTTTTTTAAAGCCTAACTAGGTGTGGTGGCACACACCTGTAGCCCCAGCACTCCAGAGGCTGAGGCAGGAGGATCCCTATGAGTTCAAGGCCGACCTGTGGTAAAAAGCAAGACCCTGTCTCAAAAAAAAAAAA